GCTTTATCAAACATAAGCGTGCAGGTGAATGCACTTCAGATTCACTGGACAAATCATAAACTTTTTTTTGCGACACGTGGTGCATTCTTGAACAAGGCTCATCTTGTAACTTCTCCATACTACATCTCCGAAATGTTATAACTCCTACCACACCTCAGTTTTGTGCCCTTCCAATCTTGAATATTGGTCCGATGTCATCTTTAAATGGGCAAGCCCGGGCCTGCCGGGGCTGTTAATGAATAGTCATGAAAGGAAAAGAAGGAGGTGGCGCCAGCGTTTGTTGTTAGATGCAAGGCAAGTGGAGAAAGGCCAAGTCAGGCAAGGGAAACAAGTGGAGGAGAAGAGAGGCCGAGCATCTCTCTCATCATCCTCCATCATGTCCCGCTCCACAGAGAGGCCACCTGGCTGTGCACGACTCTGCTGTTACTGTCACACTTTGACCTCCGAGTCCTGAGTGAGCCGAGGTGCAGCGCGTTGTAGAATCACGGTTTGTTTTCCAGGAGCCCTGAGATGCTGTGTGATGTGGTAAGTGGGCACAGATTAAGAGTCTTGCAATATTTGTGGCATTGATTTTTTTTCCCTTCTAAGTTTTTGGTTGCRGAGTTCTGGCATCAAAGTTTCTGTTCTCAAAAGGCTGAAGAAAAGAATTTGAGTTTGACTCAGCACTCTGATGGATAGGTGCAATAATGTTTATGACGGRTTGAATTGTTCTTTTTACAATAACAAGTAGTTTCATTGTAGACATGTGGATGGCGATGCAGAAGGGATGGTGTGCTGTTTAGACTGATTTCCCTCACTTCCATTTTCTTTGACTGAAACGCAAATTATTATTATTATTGCTGCATTTAGTTTTTATTTACGTTTTACACAATTTTACAACTTTTTGGGTTTGTACGAATAATTCATAAATCAAGAACGTTGATCCTTAGAGTTGATGGTCTGTCCTCTTCTTGAACTTTTTTGAATATTTCCAACAGGGGGCAACCTTGTTGCACATAACTCCTCCTTTGCCCTCCCCTGCCCATCACTACCTCCTTTTAATAAAAACAATTTACACATCTAATCTCATAGACAGTTCATTTATGTATGCAGTTCATCTTTATTTATATGTTCTCAAGCCAACAGAGCCACATGACAAAATGGGACTTTACACTGCTAATTGTGTTAAAAGTGGCCGCGCTGCTCGAAATGATTACAGAGTGTGAAGTAATAAGTGGCTGTAAAAACAAGCGATGGCACTTTTATCCTCAGCCTATTATTCGTTATTCATCTCGACAAGTGAAGGTTTCTGTGCAGGCTTATTGGCCCCTCTCAGTGTTGTGAGCCTTTAAGCCTGGCTTTTGAGTGGCAGCTACCAGGATGACTGCCCACAGGGGACATCACATGACGCTGGGATGGGGAACACGTACATCCACAGAAAGACGCTCACACAGTGGCAGAGGAGGCTTTAGCTCTGTTTTGACTTGTTGTGGATTCAGTTCAGGTTTTAAGACCAAGCACACCTGTGAGTGCATGTGTGCACCAGTGTGTGTGTGTGTGTGTGTGTGTGTGTGTGTGTGAAATGTTTTCTGTTGTTCATACATACACCTGGGACTCTTTTGTGCTTAAAAAGCCTCTCTGATAATGGAGTCATGATTTCCAGAGTAGTAAACAAAAAGATAATGGAGGGACTTTACTATTTTTTTTTATAGTTTTCATAAAAACATGAAGATCAGAATGCACAGGGCGTAGATTAAGCATTTTTTTTTTCAGTGACTGTTATATTCTTGCCAAAAAACTGAACTATTGATCAGCTGTTAGGTATTAACTTCTCTGAACCTGAAGAGTTGATGTGCCGTGCTGCACATGCCAGAGTTTGTCAATGTATGGATCTTGTGTATTCTTATTTAACCTCGGTAGTTTGTATTCATCTGCTGAAAAAAAAAAGTTCTGCAGTTTTTTTTCCTTTAAAGAAACTTGGTTCATTCCATCATCTTCAATTTCAAGTAAATAAAAACAAAACAGATCTCTTGTATGTTTTCTGTCAATGTTTTGTTTTCTGTTCTTCACCAACTTAYTATCTAAAAAGACCACTATAGAAAMAAGTATTCAAACTTTTAGATTTATAAGGAAAATAGCATAGAACTCTTTTCTGATATGATAACCTAAAAATTCTAGAGGTTTAGCTGATTTGTTCTGTCTATGAACAGAATTAATTTRTGATATCACTGGATTAATGATTTTAAATAAGTGTGAGGGGTGGGGGGGTTAAAATCAGACTTTTTAACACAAYTGAACTTTCAGTTATTTTAAATGTAACTTCTATCTTTATTGACTGTAGGAGATATCTTGAATCTTTAACACATTGTCTGAGAAATAGTGAAAAACTTGGGAAAAAAGTTGGATGAGCTCAGTCATCAAAATGCTGAAGTTGTACTTTCCTAGAAACTACGATTTTACTATATGTCAGCATTTGGCACCTTATAAATGCAGCTTCAGAAACACGTAGAACTAATGGAAACCACTAATATTCTCATTTCTTCATAAAGTAACTTTTTATGAAAAGTACAGAATACTTAAATCATTTTGGGGTCATTTACAAATACTTTATGTTGTACTTATGTGTTATAATTACTCTGTAAAGTAGTCTAAGATATATATGCAAGGGTAATAAACTAACTTCAATTTTGCTAGAAGAAAAACAGCMTTCAAAGTTTATAAAAAAGTACTAAAATAACCTCTTGTTAAATCAAGTTAAACAATGAAATTTATCATTTCCAAATGGCACAATTTACTTATTAATGCTTCAAAATCATAATATCTTTATTGTCATTGTAACAAGTACAGTGGTAATTAGGTGTTCCCTTAGGATGTCAGGATAAAGAGAATAATAAGAAATAAATATACAGTCATACAGCTTATTGCACTTGCAGCTCTTAAGCGGTGTTAAAAAATGAATTCCTCAGTTTAGGCCTAAAACACCCAAAAATAAAATCTTATTTTAATAAAACTTTCTGTATCTGATTTTCATGCTCAGGATTATGACATTTTTTTACTTTACGTTTCTAAGAATATTGACACTGCACTGGGTATTTAAAGTTTTATTGATAAACAATGCAGGACAGACGGAGGATTTGACCTTCGAACTATAGTTCTTTCATGCATTTCCTTCCTTCTTTCTTTTTTCTCTTTCACTTCATCGTGCTTTCTCTGTGTCAGACCAGACATTGTTGACTTAGTGTAGGCCTTCACGAGGTGTTTTGGAGCRTGTGTGTACATGCACCCCGGCATTGCTGTCTATGTCCGGGCATGCCATAATTAGAATGCCGTACCATTTTTTGGGTTCCCATCCCTCTTTCCCTCACTGCTTCTCTCCCCTTCTTCTCAGTCTCTTGTTTCTCTCTCTCTCTCTCTCTCTCTCTCTCTCTCTCACCACACCAGTCCTCACCTTTTTTCCTGTCCTAGAAGCACATGTGTCTGTGAGTGTGCGGCACAATATGTCCACTGATGCACACCTGGCTTGAGAAGTCCTGTAGTTAGGCTATGCTCCGGCACTCTCTTTGCTTTGTTGTGTTTGGATGTTTGACTGACTGAAGATCTGACAAATGAGACCCGTGCAGTAGAGGATGTACTACGTGAAAAAGAAGGTAAAGATTTTGATTTTGTCTACTCATTAAGTTATGGTTTGCTTGTGTAATGCCGTGGCGTTATCAGGTTGAAACTTCAAGCAGCAGAAATCCTTATCTCATGCAAAACACATGTAGCAGAATTAATGGTTTCTCATGTAGCCATTGATTATTAACCTATATTATTTTKGGGGTTTTGTTTAGCCTTGTCTTTTGTGTCGGTCTTGAAAGTTTACTTTAATCACTGAATGATGGACAAAGTAGAAAGCTAGTCCTCAGCAGGTTTAAAAAAATTACATGTTTTTTTACATGATGCAACAGGTTACCAGAAATTGTTTTTCTTCTACTGTGGCTTTTGAGTTTGAGTTCAGCGGTGTATCGACCTAAARGAAAGCATCAACTGTTACTGGTGTATCATCAAGGACACCACACTACATCAAAACTTCTTTAACACTTCAGAGAGGAAAAATGGGAAATGGCAGGTAATTAGTAACACCACATATTATGTCCGTGTTTTACAACCTGCCTCAAATAGCCTCCAGCAAAACAGTGGGGATCTCACTGTAACTGCCACTCACCTAACCRAAGTTGAAGCGTTGGGATGGTTGTGATTTTTCATGTCGTACAAAAATAGGGCCCTGAACCGTACATGGACACCTACCTAGAAGGTTGCACATGCATCATCACACACCTAGTTCACACAAATCTCTGTTTCTATTGTAACCCGACCTTCCTTAAGCCTCCAAACCCCTGTGTCTCTGACACCTCCACCTGTGTCCTCCCTCTTGTCTTTCTGCGCCCTCCCTTTTTCGCCTGTTTCAGTCGCTTCCCTCTTTGTGTCTCCCCAGTCCCAGTACAACTTGCTGAGCAGCAGCATGGACAGCCTGGGGAGCCGCGCGACGTCCGCCAGCCCCTACAGCTCCGAGAACACCTCTTCGTCGGCCGTGCCCACCCCCTCGCCTTACTCCCAGCCCAACTCCACTTTTGAGGGCCTGTCTCCCGCACCRGCCATCCCCTCCAACACCGACTACCCTGGGCCTCACGCCTTCCAGGTGTCCTTCCAGCAGTCCAGCACCGCCAAATCAGCCACATGGACTGTGAGTACAAACACACACACACACTTTTTGTGGCCTTGATGCTGCGCCACTTTGCCTGTGCACACATGTGCTTTCTTTCTGTACATCTCACACACTCATAAATATTCAGAGACACCCATTCTCACACGCTCACTCACTCAAGTCAGCACATGTGCAGACTCGTCGTGTGCAGGAGAAAGTAAAGCAGGATTTGGTGATTTATCTTGTCTTGACTCTTTGAAATCTGCTCGATGAATGCAGCCCAGATTAAAAAGATGCTCTGGACTTTTGGAAATATTTTATCCTGGGTGTCTATTAGTCGATTTGTGCAATGGATTACTTTAGGGGATAATGCTACCACCAAACTGCAACTTTTGGGATTTGCATCATGAACACATGTTGATAAAGGACCCCATCGCACATGCTTACAGATTTTAAATTTGATAGAGTTAGTTAGGAAAWATGAGTATAGTGATAAAGATATTACCACTCTGATAAACCTGGATATGGACATTTACGTACCAAGCATAAACAACTACCRTGTGATGTGATGGTGTTGAGAAACAGGTGAAACGGGAGCTGTGTAATTTGTCATGACCCAATGAGAAGGCTCCTGCTGGAAAGGTGTCACCTCCGACTGTCACACAGTTGACCTCCCTGAAACAAGAGAAACGAGAGACAAACTGCACTTCCTTCACTCTGTGTGTGTGTGTGTTTGTGTGTGTGTGTGTGTAGGACTGAAGTCCTCAGGGGCTGTGTTGGCTTGAAGTAACCATGCGTGATGAGCTTCTTTACTCAGTCCTCAGTGATGTAAGACGATCCCCCTCTGGACATTAGAGCGGTGGTCTTTGACCTGCTGCTTTTCTTTCTCTGTCTTTTTCTTTCCCCCCCAGTCTTAGCACACACTCATGGCTGTCACCTCTGGCGTCTTTAGTTTCCCCTCAGCCTCCCCTAAAATATGTGGATAATCTCTTTTGTCTCCSTTAAACCCGCTGACCATGGATCTTTCTCCAATCACGTCACATCATTTAAACACAACACAGTAAACATCATCAAAAAATGAATAATTACACAATGAAACAAGTTTGTATTCCTCGCATTATGTTGGTTACAGGTAAAAAATACAAAAATACGCTCAGAATTTATTTAAAAATTATTTCTTAGAGTTCATTAAATTTTTTGATTTGAGTTGAAACATTTGCAGTAGAGAAACACAGGTGAGAAAAAAACTGAAGATATTCATTTTCCTGGAGCCTTGTAATGAAAGCCACAGACGACTATAATTAAAGCAGGAAAAACATTTAGAAAAACAACAATACACTGCTTATATAGTTTTAAAAAAGGCTGATGTCACCTTTGAGGTAGCTGAATGTGAACTTTCTAATTGCTTGCTCTGTTCAGGAGTGAGCAAGTTTTTTTTAAAGCTTTTTGTTTRGATGTTTTAAAATGTTCTTAGCCTGTTCGTTTTGTTATTTTTATAATACATGTGTGAGTAATGATTTCTTTGTTCAAATCACATTTGATCAATTTACCTGAAGTTTTGAAGGAATTTAACCAGTAAACGACAAATGTATTTGAACCCATTTGTTTTTGCTTCTTGAGTTTCTGCTATTGCTCTACTGTATTTATTCATGTATAATACTAGAATTTTAACCCTAAAAATCATTCATGAAGTGGGGAGATAGTGTTATACACAGGTTATTTTTAATTAGATTTTTACGCTTTGTAAGCTCAAAAAATGATGATCGTATTATACTTGAGATCATATTATACATGAATAAATACGGTAAGCTTTATGTTTCCTGATATCCAACTCATGTGCAGTTTGGAAAAGCCTTTATTTCATTTCCATTATAGGGAACCCTCCAACAGATCATACATGTTGACTTTGTTTAGAAAAAGGACAGTTTCAGGAAAAGAAGAAAAACAACCTTTACCTGTCTAACCAATTAATGTCAAAACTGTTTTTGTTTATTTTTGTTGGCTGGTTTAGTTTCTAAAGGTGTGTTTGCCAAATGGCTTCAGGTTTAGATGATARCACAGCAGAAAATGATATGAAGTAATCTGCTTCTGCTGCCAAGGAGAGCTAAGATAAAATAAAACCTGTTTCATCTAAGTGACCYAAATACATTGGTTAGTTTAAACAAAATGATACATTGACCTTTTATGTTGTGGGAAAAGTTACGTTTATCATTTGTAAAAGAATAAATAACTTTAAGTAACTCAGTATGAGTAATCAATGTTCATCATTTTAAATAATTTCTGCTAGGATTTATATGAAAAATAAAAAATGGCTGCATATATTTGATATATTCAGGCATAAAAACACAAAAGCTTACATATGTTTTTATAAATGGAGAGCTGTAAAGAAAAAAGGATTATGGTTAAGAAATGTTTCTACTAGTAGAAGGGAATTCCCCAGGATTAACACTTTGCTTAAGAATTTGTGTGCATGCACGTGTGTGTGAGGCTAAATATTTATGCACAAGACTCGTGTCAAATTTGTTTTTAAAAATAGTTTTAAGCAGATCATAGTTAAAATAAGTGTTTTTTTGCAGATGATGGGTCACCTTGTTTGACTGTGGTCTCTTGCCTTGTAGTTTTATGCTCATTCCTTGTAGCCTCAGGCAGTGAGGAATGCCACTAGGGGCATTATGATAATAATCACCTGCTTACAGACTTCGTTTCCCACCCTTCTCCCTCCTAATATGAGTGGGTGGCATGCTTTGTTTTTGGAGCTTATAAGAAGTTGACTCCCTTTTGCATCAAGCTATTACCATTAAAGTGCCTGTGATGCCAATTTTTTGTAATACGTCTGAATGCATTTTGAGAAAGAGGACATTGATAAAATATTGCAAAATAAATTTCATGCAGCTGAGATGAACAGTTGTTGAGACATTTGCCTGTGAAGTAACAGGAAGTGATGACAAAGGGGAATGTCTGCATGTGAACAGAGTGTTGCTAAAACAGCCAACAACCCAGAGTGAAAAGAAGAATCTGATGTTTCTTCAAATTATTTTGAGTCACTATCAGAGAGAGATGAAGAAGAGTCAGAGTTCAGATAATATTGTTTCAATTAACAAAGACAAGAGAGTTTTCTTTGTTAAAGCGTTCCCCTTTGAGGTCACTTCCTGTTTCACTTTGGCAGAGCCAAGTTCAAAAGAAAATAYGTCAGTTATGGGACAAAATGGGTTATATCGTGTGTATTATTCCAACTTTCTTAAATATAAAGATGTTTTCTTTGACTTTTTGTATTTGAAGATTATGCCTGTCACAGGCACTATAAATCCTACTTTTTAAATCTAAACTGCAGAGCTGACKACAGCTTTGATTTGGGGCTTCATAAAAGGGGTTCCCATGTCAGTCCACATGTGAGTCATCATTCAAGTRGTATTGAGCAGTGAACAGAAGAACCGATCCTTTTGTTCCCCATGTCTTTCATAATGTTTCCATATRCAGTAAGCCCATCCAAGCCCATGTTAAGCTGGTCTGGTAATCCGCCCATGTCTAGTCAAGACACAACACATTAGCAATAATAGCTCTGAAAGTGCATCGCTCTCCTCTTAAAGATGATGCCTCGGCTTGGATGCAGACAAGCGTCACCACGACTGGAAATGAGATCTAACACCTCAGCATTGTCAAATTATAAGAGCTCTTTCCATAAACCCATACTCAGTGTGTGTGTGTG